TTTTTTTTTTTTTTTTGCTCTTATTTTTGAATCAACTTCCTTACGTGTTTAAACACATTAGCTGTACATACATGTAGCAGGGTTTTAACGTAACAATGTCGTAAATGTGAAGTTTGTCAAAATGTGTTTATTTGTTCTTTGACTTTATTTTTTATACGTTTTTTTTAGACATATTTATTGGCGTTTTAAGTTCTGTTATGTTGCTCTTGGCAGTGGGTGGTTACCATAGTAACCGGTAACTGACAGCTCGTCCCGTTTTTTTTTGTTTTTTTTTTTTTCTTTTCATGTCCGTTACTGTGGTATGTATTAGAATATATTTTTGCAATATATTTCGGACAAATGTGATAGTGTACAGTGTTTCTTAAGTGAACTTGCTATGTTTTGTGTATTTTTAAATGTTATTGTTAATGCTGCTCATTTTAGCTTGTTTAAGTTAACTGCTTCTAACTGCTATTAACTGCTGCTGTTGCTTTATAGTTTGTCGAGGGTTATTTATTGTATTTTATTTAATGTATAGGGGGCAGAAGCTGCTAGACTGGCGATAAACACCTACTTGTTTTGTTCTTTTCTTAAGAATAACTACGACGAACGATGAACCTGAATGCGTCTGTCGTGGAGTCAGCCTACTGGATCTGAGACGAGCAAAGAAGGGCAGGTTTACACCAACAATCATACATTTGGCTGATTCATCAGCTTCAAGCGGTCACAAGAGGAGTGCAACAAACTCTTTGTAGATACAGGAGATTTTATTTACTATTTTTGTGTACAAACATAGGCTGCAAATGCCTCTCAAACAAGTTTTACCCTCAGAATACAGTAATCCTTTTTACAGTTCTACAAGCAGAACATTGAATAGTTAAACAGAGACAAAAAAAGACTCAAAAATAGAAAGTGACATAGTTGGTCAACATGTCTCATCCTGGAGTTTAACATTATGTCCTCAATTTTTCTAAAAAATAACTAGAACATTGCTTAGTAGGCAAAATTTATTGGTGGCATGATTTCTGAAAAGTGGCAGCAGAAGGTTGTGTAAGATCACCTATAATATGGCAATAAATACCAGGGTCCGATGTAATAAATGCACATTTAAAGCAATATGCACCATGTCTTCAGGCAAGCCCACGGAAAAACTTGAGATTTTTTTTTTGGCTGGGACAGACTGTGGTGAGAACATGCAGATACAGTGACAGACGGAGCAAAACAATACATTTAGAGCATTATAATTCTCTCCTCTACCACAAACTGACAGGTCGGATTTGCAAAGAGGTTAAAGGTTGTAACCAGCTTGATCCAGAGAGCTGCACAATAAATAACAGGGAAACCAAATTATGTATTCTCTAGTATTATACATATTATACACTCTATGGGGGAAAAAAGGAGTCTTAGTTACTTGAACCTGCACTTTCTATTCGGTTGTCCACATCATATAGCTAAGACAATCACAGTGGGCAGTCTGCTGTTTGAAACAAACACATACGCTGAGCTGACGTGCAGGAACTGAGTGTTCCTGCATGTCAGGAAACATATGCTATTCTTCTGTTCATAAAAAATATTTGCACCATTTTTAACATTTTGTCACATTACAACCACAAATGTCCATGCATGTTATTGTGATTATACGTGATATACCAACACAAAGTAGTGCTTAGTTGTCAAACAGAAGGGAAACTGGTTTCAATTGTTTGATACAATAATGCGACTCCTTTAATCTGTTGGTCCTAAATGTGTCTATCAAAGCATATTTTTTGGGTTGCAATGACCCAGTCAAAGTCCAAACCTAAATCCAATTGTAAATTTGTGACAAGAGTTGAACATTTCTGTTGACAGACGCTCTCGATCAAAGACGCATGGGCAATAATTTCAGTGCCTTTTGCACTGAAATGTTCTTTACAGACTATAAGTACAAATGTGCATCACATTTTTCACAATTTTATTTTAAAGCAGGTATTCTCACCCTTCACACTACATATCACACTATCTTGTGTTGGTGAAGCACATAATCCTAATAAAATACATTTAATTTGAGGTTAAAAAAAATTATAAATGTGAAAAATGCTTCAGCAGTGTGAATATTTTTGCAAGACACCGTGTCTACAGAGCTACTTAGTGGTTCTTGTACCGAGACAAAATCAGAACAAAATGTTTTAAACACAGCAGAAGAAGCAGATTAATTTACTAGAGAAACCACATTATATTAAGACATTTTTCTAACATTAATTTGACATTTTACCATAAATAAACAGATCAAGCAGACCAGACCATCTTATACCAAACTAGAAGGAATCATAAATAAATCAGCATAAAAGGCATTATAAGAGAAAAAACTATGTGTTGCACTTAGAGGATTAACTTTAGCACAAAGTTTCATTCACTTACAGCATTAGAGGTCAGATGAAAGAATGCTCATGTACAGAATGAGCTAAGACCATGCTTGTATTTTAAGGTCCTGTCTTAGCCTATAAGTAGGAGATGAAAGATGTGTGGCTGTCCTCAGCAAAGGCAACAAGAGGATGAATGTTTTTCTTAACCACCAGCTTCTCGGCCGACATGAAGACAAAGTAAATTTTGGTGGTAAACAAAAGCAAGTGTTGAGGCACAAAAGGGTTGGATAAGTACAGGCAGCTGGGACTTTGTATGAAGGAGAAACGTGACTGAATGTTCACATTCTACATGAGGCTATAAGCATGCTACAGTGAGTGAAACGAAATCAGATTGTATTGTGGAGGAAAAATAAAATAAGATCAAAACAGTGACTTCAAATTTCCCAAGAAGCCGATTGCTTGCTTTTGCTCTTGCGTAGTTGCTATGTTTCTGTTTATAATCATAGATTAAAAGAAGAAAAAAAAGTAAACCCTTTAATTAGGCCCTTTTAGCAGAGTCCCCTATAGACACCAGTCGACCACAACAAAAGAACCACATCAGCTCAGATGCATTAGTACCAATTTATTTATTTTTTTCCAGGAAAAGATTCTGCAGGGAGATTTCCGAGCTCTAACAAATTTGGTTGCAATTTTGATATTTATCTAAATTAAACTGCAACACTCATTAAGTTTTGCCATCGTCAAATGACGTGTTATCGTCAGATTTTGTTTGATTTATTTATGCTTCATACGAGGGCTGAAAAAAAATGATAAAATATGATGATAAAATCTGAAAGGTCAAAAACCCAATCAATCACAATTTGTAAAACGGTGACCATGCAAGTTTTTGTGGGATCTCAACAGGAAGGAGGACCTATGAGATTCCTACAGTATGAAAACCTTGAGTTTAAAAAAAAAAAAAAAAAACTACAATTTTACAGCACTGTGGTGTTTATACAAAAATTAGAAACCAAAATCTGCCTTTCTGTTTTAAGAAAAACAGAAAGGCAATCAACTGCTAAAATAATGGAACATATTAATTATTACTGTTATGTGCTATCTGCAACATATTAGTGATTTTGAAGCATTTTATACAAATAATCCCTTCTAATTATTTATATAGAAGGTGATAAATCACCTTCTTGTTTATGCAAACAAAAGAGTTTTTTTTTTTTTTGGCTCAAAGAAACCAACAAAAAAAAAAAAAAAAAAAAAAAAAAAAAAAAAAAAAAAAAGGAGCAAGCAGTGGTATCAAAGTGCTTATTGAGCAGACTGTTGGGCATTTTAGGCATTCTACTTTTTACATAAAGTAAAACAAGTAGAATGAGTGGATATAGGCTGGTAAATTAGTCAGGCTATCTGCTCCACAGCTGCACAGTTAGCTGGTTACCAGACAAACTCTCCATAGCTTTGTCAACTGGTCTTTTAAAGGTAAAGGTATTTTTATTTATATAGCACATTTTCAGCAACAAGGCAATACAAAGTGCTTTACAGGAATTAAAAGGAAATACAAACAAAATAAANCAAANGAAAGAGAAAAAATAATCAAATGTTAATCTAAAGTATGTAGAGCTCCTGCTCATGGTTGCTAAGTATCCTCTGGTCTAATTCCATTTTTGGGTTGGAAGAACAGGAGTCTAAAAAGTAGTCCTACTTTTTTCTTTACTACTAATTTTAAAAGGGTAATGGGTTTCACTTTGTTAGCTTGTGTGCAGTGATTGTCAGAGTTGCTCAGAGCTGGAAGTATTTCCAGACAACCTAATATCTCTTTCTCTTAAGCCTGATTCAGATTACTCAGCAAGCTTACCAGCAACACTAACACTAAAGACTCTTTAAAGTCAAATAAAACTCATGACTCTTCAGCATTAATGTGCATTTTTTTGCAGGTTTGATGCTAAGATATGCATCAAACCTGCATTTGATGCATTTTTAAAATTACAATTTTAACTTTAAAATGACAATTTAAAGGTAAATTGTCATTTTAAACTTTGATACCAGTAGCCGGCCCATGCATGGTTCTCCGCATTTTAGAAAACTGAAGATTGATGAATAAAATGTTATTTTGAATGACTTCCAAATATTACGCCAAGATGAGAACTAGTTCTTTTGGCTTTTGTTATTTAAAATCCCAGTTTTCTTTTCAGAAGATTAACATGGAGTCTGTAAAAGCAGATGGTTTTCTAGACGTTAAAACATCCAAACTACAAGGATCATATCACTTATGACACAAACTATCATGGCTCAGAAAAGGTCTATTAAATCCTCAGGATTAAGGCATTAATAGCAAACATGTATTTAATGTCTAATATTAACCTGGAATATGGCAATAATGAGTTTGTGGTTTTTACGTTGTGGCTGATTGGTGTATACAGAAATCTAACCGTAACCCTCAACATAAGGTTTATCTTTCCTCTGGCTAAAAAGATACGTTTTAGGAGTGCAATAAAATAAAATAAAAACAACTGACGATATCCCAAATCAAGTCTGAATACAAAGTCATCCATAACAAATTCAATAGAGTAATAAAACATGCCTGCATGTTAAATCAGTAACAAAGAACGTTATGAGCTTTGCCATGGCCATTGCCACCGGGAAATTTTTACAATAGCAAAAAAGGGTAACGAGTGGTATAAAAAAAAAAAAAAGTATTTCTCACTGGACATAAACACAGAATTGTCAGGCCACTTAAATTCTTATACAGTAGTTTTAATATTGTATGAGTGCACTTCTGTTGCCACAGATTAAATGGTAAAAAAAAAAAAAAAAAAACATAATCTCCTACATGATTTGTATGAGTTTTCTGTATTATGACTGTTGCATAAAGTCTACACTAGACGGGCGACAGACGTCTCTGGAGGCGAGACGAATCCGCCAAGAGACACCCAGCAGTTAAAGACGCTTGTGCCTTTTCCACAGCAGCATACAGGATTTGACTACAATGCTTGCGTTACCTTCATAATAATAATAATAATAATAATAATAATAATAATAATAATAATGGTATTTAAATAGAGAGCTCACGGGGGATTATTGTTAAAAACAAGGCTGAAATCTTGCTCTTCTACAGCAAAGTCGAGGATAAAACCTACCACTTTCATAAAGAAAAAAAAAAAGACTTTTTTTCCTCAACAGGATCCCCCCCCAAAAAATAAATAATAGTAACAACTTTAAAACAAAATACAACTTTAAGATTACAAACATGTACATGCCTCATTTTATCCCCAAAACACAACAAAGACAGTTTGGCAAGATGTCCTATGTTACGACGAGACGAATATTTCGACAATTCCTACATTAGAAAATGTATTGCTTCCTGTGCATTTAGGCTGGAGTCTACCTTAAGAAACAAATGAGATCAAATAAAAATATGACCAAATAAATCTGCTTTTTTGGGGGGTTAGGAAAGAAGACAGATTGGGTAACTAAATTCTTTCTCTTTTTTTTCCACAACACATTTCAAGTCATAGCTCTCAACTTGAATCGTGTTTGTTTTTGTTGTAAGCGCGATCAGGTGTCGGCTTTCATTGCCTTTTAAAAAAAATGGTGACTGAAAAAGGCCCAAAAAAAATAAATAAAAAATGTCTCGTCTATCCTGAAATAATGCAACGAGAACGATGTAAGAGATTGGATGTGTAAAAACATTTGAGATGGCATCATGTGTTTTGCAAGACTTAATGATTGTCCAAAAATAAATGCAAACTTGAGTACAATGCCGCAATGTAAAAGTACATGAGAGTCAAGAAAGACGTGCTGAATTTTACCACGTCTTCATTTGTGAGACGAGAACAAAAGTAAACTGTGACAAAAGCAGATCACCTGGTGAATAACTACAGGTGCCAGGAATCACACTAACTATTGGATAATGATGTGTATAATTATGACCTCAAATCCTCTGAGCTTCAGAGATGAGTGGCGCCATCTTCTGTTGTGAAGAGACAATCCTTCCGAGTCAATTTAAAAACACACTACAGAGGGCTCACTTTGAGCCAGTGTCCATCCCCTTTTTTTTTTTTTTTTTACACCTCTACTAGAATGAGTTCAGAGCAGACAGTCTAAGTAAGCTCTACACCTCAGTGGAGAAGAGGATACTCTGTCGTTTACTGTCCGGGGTGGGGATGGTTTCCAGCTGCAGGAAATACAGCAAAACCTGGACCTGAAACAACAGGAGACAAAAGCTGTGAACTAGAAATAAACATGACACAAACTCTTGAAAAGTATTTTTCCATTACAGTTGTCTTTTTGGCCCCTAAAATTTAATAACTCATTGTTCCATATTTTGGCGTTGCATCCCTGTAGAGAAAGTTTGACCTTATATTCTCTAAAGAATAGCTACACTGTCTGTACGAAGTTTCAAAGGTATTGTTGTTGAAACTCAGCATTTAGCTGCTTATTTCTGACAGAACTTCGATGACAAAATCGCAGAGGGAGTGGACAGAGTGGCGCTGGGTTTAGCTCACTTGTGCCATAACTTCCAAGGACCAGCTGTCCCCCATGCTGATGGGTTGAGTGGGGTTAGAAGGAATCTTGCTGTCCTTCTCTGCCGGCCTGAGCAGAGTGGGCCCAAAGACGGTTGCCAGATTGTGCAGAGACATCTTGTTGACGCTTTCCTTCTCCGCCACCCTGGGGAGAGGACGACAAACAAGTGACGTTGGTGCCAAGGATGTCAAACTGTGATGAATTGTTGCCCACGGTGAATTGTTTGAGTTTACCTCAAAAAGAAACTACTGGAAGGAGAAGTGCAGGAGAGTTTTGAGAACTCAAAAGCTTAAACTGACGCAGAAATCAGTGAACAAAATTAAACACTTGGAGAACTGAGAAGAATTTGTATGATAAGCTCAGCATTTGGAAAAAAACAAAACAAAATGAATGCAAAATAAATGTACTTGATATTATAAATGGTTATGTAAATATGTTTAAAATACACATAAAAAACAAAAAAAAAATTAGCTGAAACCTAAAGCCAGTCGTGGAGTTGGTTGTCTGAATATCACCCATGTACTAACTATAGTGTTGTGTCTTCCATACCTCTTGAGGTGATCCAAAAGGAAAAGGAAGGTGACTAGGTTGGGTTCTGGCAGTGACAGCAGCAAGTTCAGCATACAGCTCTCTTTGGCAACACTATCAGTGAGGGCTGAGCAGAAGGAAAGGAGGACAAAGCAACAATTCACGTGACTCCTTCACATATTGCATGCAGCTGAATTCTTCAAGAAGCAATGTGTGACAACTACCTTAAAGCAGCTCAGTTTTAATAGCAATAATTAAATAAATTGGAAGCAGCGGGCAGCAACTTACTGATGCCACCTGCAAAATTAGGATAGAGCTCATCAGTGAAGAGGGGCTCAGGCAGCTCTCTGAAGTACAGCTTCAGGGTTCCGGCGATGGCATTGACGTCCATCTCGCTCATCATCACAGACACGTCTTTGTTATCTGCAGGAGGAAGACAAGAAATGAGTAAAGACCAGAGGAAAAGCGTGACAGGAGCTAAGATGTGTGTTGCTAAAATGATGATAAGGAAATGCAAATCCATTGTTTAAGATAGCTTATGCAATGAAAGCTTTAAAGGCTTTGAGTATAGAAAACCAATGGCTCATGTTCACACTGAATACCATTACAGAAGTACACAGTTCATTTAAGCTTAGGACAAAGATTGATGCAGGACTTACTGGTGTCAAAGGCGGTCTTCAGAGCCTGGATATCAGTGGCCACCCCTGATACTCTGTATATTCCCACCTCCTCCATGCCTCTCCTCTCTATCTCTTCTAGGCACTGACGGACAATGTAGGGCACCTTGGAGCGCTCCCGTCTAGACCAGGACAAAAACAAACACTTTGACAATTTACAACAATTTACTTCCAATCACTTTCTTCTTTATTCTTGAACTCTGTTTCATTGGAAGGTGAAGGTTCCTACATATATATATTTTTTTATTATTTCAAAATTATGCACTTTTACCAGACTTCCAGAGCTCTCTGTCCTATTTCAAACCATTTCAATGTATTAATAAAAACTTTGTGATGGATGGATGGAGTAAGGTCAAATAGATGAATGGATAACTTGCCGTACTGAACAGAATGTACCCTTTTTTTTTCCTTGAGAACATTGTAGGTGACTAAGCCTAAGGAAAAAATTAATGAAAATTGATTTTAAAAAGAAAAAAAAAACCCATCCACTTATTCGGTTATACTAGCTTAATAGTGGTGAGAGATTGACATATTGTCCAATACAAGAACAAGAACAATAAAATAAAAATAAGGTGCTGGTTAGGAAACTTTAGCATGATCAGTGTGCAGCCAAATAAAACACAACCCAGTTAGCTAGTAGGTTTTAACAGAGAGAAATTGATAGTTAAAGACAAAGCTAGCATTTGTCTCGCACAGAAAAGAAAACAACAAGTTAGGCTTGAGGTACACCAACAAGAATATTACAGTATAATACAGATGCAGTCAGTTCTCAACACAACTGACTGCTTTTTATGTATTTACTCCGTTTTTCTAACGTTAACTCACTTGGTCACTGTGGAGATTTTAACTCCAAACACGCCCATGGGTTTCTCTGAGGGCATCCTCTTCAGGCTGAACTCTCTGCTGGTGAACTTCATCGACAGTTTCACTTCAACCTGACAGAAAAAAAAAAAAAATAAAAAAAATAAAAATTACAAGTTTAGAAGTGAGAGTCATAGAGATGAGAAATTCATTATGACAACTATGCAGAATCTCAAGTAAATGTTGTAAAGACAATAATAATAATAATGAAAGTGAAGAATAACTGTCACACTCACCCCGTTCATAGGGATAACTGTTCTTTGCCAGTCTTTGCCTTGAAGAATCTGAGCATCAAGCTGAGAGGAATAATCAAAATAGGCAGCTTTTATTACAAAAATAATGGTAATTAATTGTTATTTGTAAGACAAAAACATTCAATACCATATGAGTACATGAGGTTAGGGAAAAATAGAAAAAGTCAAAACGTAGTTGATCATTTATTTATTATTTCTACTGGTTTACGCACTCTTGTTGTCTGTGTCTAGATCACTTAGAGAACCCGTGATGCATAAAACTATGACATCAGCTGCAAAGATCCACCCTCTACATGCAGTAGTTGGTGGCTGATATCATTCATTTACTGTATTTCCAAATATAAGATTAACCAAATATGATTTATTCCCAGAGACTAAAATCATAGCCACACAGATCTGATAAGCCATCTGGATCTGGGGCAGTACAAACCGGTGCCACTGAGATGATGCAGAATACGAGCAGAGACACAGAAGACTGAATGTTGATGTTGCCAAAGCCTCTAATGGTTGCGCACAAAGTCGGATCGCATTTCTCATAAATGAATCTTGTGCCGCCGAGTGAATACTTTGAGAAATTTGATTAGAAAGAATTGCATTTAATTTAAAAAGAGAGCTGCTTTTCTGTTTAAATGTTTTAAGGTGTGGGTTTCAATTTTCTCCAGTAAAAAAAAAAAACCCATAACACTGAGGTCCATTGGATTTAGTGGGGCTTGGCCTTTTCTCAACTACAATTTTACATTAACACCTGTGAACCTATAAACGGTGAAGAAGGCCTATAGAGAGCGGATGGACAGATAGATAATTAATAGATGGATAAATAACAGATGATAGATGGATAATGAACAAATGATCATGGACAGAAACATGAATGGATCCTGACTAAAAAACAAACAGATGGATATAACTTGTTGCATGACATTGTGCTTTAGCAACCTGCCAGGCTTTCTGTTGTTTTGCTCTGGTTTTCTTTGTTGCAGAAAGAGAAAACTGGGCATTCTCTGCCAGCAAATAACGGTAAATTTAACATGTAGACAACGTGAACCACATATAAATGACAGCAACAAATAAAGATAAATGAGTTTCTGTCAAATAAAAGAGGTATCATTTGTTCCTTATTCAGACTTGTGAAAATCCTGTCGAGCATCTCTGGCAGCAGGTTTACAATGACATCATCCCATTAAGACGGGATCAGGTCTCAGAATTACTGAAAGACGCCACTAGGGGGAGCACTGAGCTTGTGAGCCAGGAAGCAGACTTTTCTGCAGCGGTTTAACCAAATCAAACAGGATACAGACAGCTCAGATTAAAACTGTTGTTCCATAACTAACGGAAACAAACCTGCTTTGCTCTGGGTGAGCTTTTGATCTTTTACTTATTTTTGCTAGAAGCACAAAAGGAGTAAAGGTAAAAGAAAAAGACAAATATGTTTGTCTTTTTCTTTTATCTTTACGTTTGCTAATTTACAGTGGACGAATTTGGGCTGATGTTCTCTTGGCAACCTCATCAATGACACTTTAAATCTGCCATCAATGTCAGGATGCCATCAGCCATCAGGAGTTCTGACAGCTGAACCTGCCAGCACAACATTGGACAAAAGGTCAAAAATGGCAGCTTTTTGTTTGTCTGTCTGTCAAAAAAAATAAATAAATAAAAAATCACCCTCCGAGTAAATCTTTGCTGAACTGACAGACATTAGTTACTTGCTACACAGGTTGGATTACCTATTGCAATAACCGACTAATAATCATCTTTCTACATCATGCATAACTGTCAAAATCGATGCGTGCTTCATGCTTTTGCAGCTGAGGAGATGACATAACTCTCAATCAATACTGAGTCATGGTAAGTGTGCAGATCGTAACGGGGGGTGACGTCATGTCATACCAGGATCTGTCCTTTCCCAATGATGCGGTCTGTGCTGTCTCCGTCTTCTTTGTTCAGCTTGGTCCTGTTGTAGCTCTTCTCATAGCAGAGCAACCTCAGGGTCTGAGAGCCCTCCAGCTCGATTTCAAACTCCTTTGGGTAAAAAGGAAGGGGAAAAAAGAAAAACAATGTTTGCATGAAAGATAAAATAAATTACAAATATCATCCCTTTACTGCCCACAGCTGAGCGGCATTCCTTGCAATTATGTAAGGTAATGCTCTACATATGGTTTGCACATTGTTCTGAGATCCACACTGTCGGTTCATTTAGCTTTTGGACAGATGTGAGTCATCGCGTGCTGCAGATCCTCATTAGTTCATATTACTTCCACTTTGTTAAGCAGAATTCTCAAAGAGGATCTAATATTTTTCTAAACTCTCTGTTCCCTTAGTCACCAGTGGCACTATGAGTGCACTCTTCTTGGTGCTGCACATAGACGCAGCGCAATCTCTTCAGATTGTCCACACTCTTGCAGTAGGTCCTATTGTATGTGCTGGAATTGCAACCAAATGGCAAAAACTGATATACAAGCTTTTCAGCCACATTTCTTTTTAACGCCTTTGGTAATTGTGGAAATGATTGTGACATCAGTGATTATGATCAAAACTGTGACTTCTCATGTGGGATATTTTTCACGTACTTATTTAGTACGTGAAAAATATCCCACATGAGAAGTGGGATATATCAAATAGATATAGGAATGTTTCATAAATGTTTACCGGGGGAGGGAGGGGCTGCTAATAACTGTGGAGGGTGCAATATCCACCAGCTTGCATGCAATCATAACTATTTGCAGTAGTTAATTTCCTCTATATTTTTGTGGTTTTTGATAGACATCTTTTCACTACTCAGACAGCTAACTGATAAAAAACAACAGATGCTACACATATGAGAAGCAGCATAAAACAAACAGATAAGAAAAAAGTGTTTTAAGTGGGTACTGCTGAGTAAAAGAAAAAAAAAACCCAGATGGTTCATTAATGCTGGGCCATTTGCATAAAAATTCTACAGTCATAAATAAGACTAGTAAAGATTTAGTGTGGGTATTTGTTCTGGATTTTACCTCGTTCCACTTGGGTTCAGTGGTGTATCGGTAGACTCTCGTCTTTGCTTTATTTAAAAAGAAGCCAAATGAGTCCACCTCCAATGTGCAGTAGAGATCTGGCAGAAAGAGGGTGATGGTGAAGAAATTGCATATAAAAAAAGGGGGGGAAAAGGGAACTCTGTATGCTTAGAGGGAACGTTTGACTGCATTTCTTTCAACCACAAAAAATACAATAAATTAATAGGAGCTTTTTGCACTGCAACATTAAAGCTGTGGTTACTAGAGTTACCTTATGTTATAATTACTGCATAAAGTCTGAAGTTGAGTGACTCACTTAAACTCTGTTTGAGGCCAGAGGCAGAGTGGACGATTACATTCAGAAACCCGTAGAGACCGGAGGATTCATCCTCTGGAAAAACAGCAGAGATATTGGAAAAGGATGTCAGCGGGGGCAGATTAGAAAAGCATGCACGTCTCTGTTTGTTCTGGAGTCGATTCAGGCGGAGGGGGAAGAGCAAAAAGCAATGCCGGCTTGTGGGGAACATTTAATTTAAAGCTGTTTTTGTAATAATTTCATTCCTGATGCACAAATAAACCCCACATTTAGGCGCAAATAGAAGGAGCCTACCTTCTTTATTCAGACTAAGAGGAATGTTGTGGACAGTTTGGAGTTTGAGACAGGAGCTGGTCAACATTTGGAGCTCCATGGACGTCAGTGAGGGAGTTTTAACACCTCGAAGACACAGGAAGTTTATGTAAATGTCGGTGGATATCAAAAACATGTCATATTGGAATGTGAGTGGGGTCTTGTTAGTCATAGGCTGAAAAAGCAGGATTTGCTGTAAGTGTTTAATTAAACATGCATTGCACATTGTGACGTGGGAAGCAGGTATGTTTTCCTTTAATTGGATCAGACAGGACATGCCTGGAAGGACATCTCTTTGACACTCACATTTCTGCTGCTGTTCCCTGATTATCTCTCTCCACTCTGAACGCTCGTAGTCAGAAGAAATCAGGAAGCTGTAACTCTGAAAACGCACACACACACAAACAGAGTGTATAAGAAAACATAGAGATCTGGGAAAATGTATATAACCTGTTTTTGCTTTTATTTTCCATGCTTAATTTTTTTAGATCAAACAAATGTTAATATCAGAAAAGGATAACCTTAGTAAAACAGTAAAAAAAAGCTATGGTTAACTCCAGCCGAGTTACATTTCACTAGTCACACTCAGGTCTGATTAATGCCAAAATATCACAATCACAAAACCACTCAAATAGGAACTGTCTGACAAGATGGAGGTTAAAGATCTCAAAAGCAACAAATCATCCAAAGGCATAAGCCTCCACGAACGGAAAAAAAAAAAAAATGCAGAAGGTGGAGAACCTTTTCAGGAGAAGCTTGTAACAACCAGCGGACAACTACAACTCACTCAGGAGGTCACAAAAGGAGCCAGAACAACATCTAAAGCACTAAAGACTTCTCTTGCTACAGTTAAAGTCAGAGTTCATGATTCAACGATGAGAAAGAGGCAGGAGAGAGTTCTCAAGTGAAAACCACTGCTAACAAAAAACACACAGAAAAAGTTTCTGGAAAGTGTGCCGGTTTCTTCTGCTGCAAAACTCCGAGAATTTACAAAAACAAAACAAAACACATACAAAAAAACCCCATCATACTTCCAGTTAAACATGCCATAATTAAAATAGCCATAATTTAAGGAAACAAGATTTTGGGTTCGTAACAGAATATCTTGAGAGAAAATATCTGTTCATCACAAAAAGCTCATGGAGACTTGAGATATGCTGCAAGACAATGATTCAAAGCACACCAGCAATTCCCTCTATGGTTGGCTGAAAAAACGTAAAAAAAAAAAAAAAAAAAGGTTTTGTAGTAGCCTAGTCAAAGTCTAGACTTAAATCCAGTTGTGTGGTGTGGCATGATTTTAAACAGGCTGTTCAAACCCTCTTGTTTCAAGCCAAGTAAAATGAAACAGTTGCTTAAAAACTTATTTTTGTATTTACTCAAGGCAGCTTTGTCTGATGTTGAAACGCATTTGAAGATCTGAAATACGAAAGTGTGACAATGGAAGATCAAGCAATTAGTAGAAGGGAAACTATGAATTTGATCAGGTTGTTGAAACTTGTGACTGACTTATGTTTGGGACCTGAGTGACTCAGGAAGGCAACGGTTAAATAAGAGACAGAAGAAATACAAAGAACATGCCGGGAACGATTTAGAAAAGATAGACGTATGAGAGCACATCATCGTAATGGTCGCATCCTCACCTTTCCGTTCTTGTTGAACAATCTGAGCGGCATGCTGGGAGACGTTAGTAGCAGCAAAGACTCCTGCTCCGACAGTTTCTTCCGGAGTCGGTCGATTACTTTTGAACCCTTGTTGGCTCTCTGAAAATCCAAAGCGAAAAGAATGAAATGGATCATGGAAATTTGGATTCTCAGAATCATCTGTGTTTAGGAACAAGCCCTCCGACTGACCTTCTCCCTCTGAATCTCACTGCGGAGGTGTGAGATCTTGACCTTAACGGCGTCCAGCTCCTCGTCCGAGACTTGGGGAATGGCGAGGGGCTCGGTGTCTTCGGGGCCTTGGAAGGTCAGCTCAGTCAGGGGGATGTACCACTTGCAGTCGTACTGTTGGTTTTTACTGAAAGAGGAAAGTTAGAATGTCCAGAAATACAAGTAAAGTGGAAACAAAAAAAGCAGGAGACGGATCAATAAAGCAAGAACATTGATACAGATGACTACCAGGGAAGGGCTTTGGTGGTATTTTGGAGTCCACATTGGACTCTTTGGCCATCTGCAGTGGAAATCAAGATTTGGCTCCAGCTTTATGTGATGCAGATGGGTTTTTTGCAACATCACCTAGAATGTAAGTGCCATTGGATGCGATGCAATTGCTCGCTTAACATATCCTTTATATTTTCTACTGAATATTGTTCTCCAGATCATCGGTTTGTATTGTTTATAGATATTTCAGTCTTAAAACATGTTTAAATTTGAAAAATATTTGTTTGTTTTGGCAGATTAATTTGCTCCTTCTGCTCCGGATGCCTGAGTGTTACCATTTTTCTTGATCACTAACAGAATGCAGGCATCAGGCTTCGCTCTCATCTTTTTGTAAATATACCAAGCCGTTGCTCTAGACTCACCCTTTCTGCTTCCATTTTACTTTGAACATATTTAAACATTTTTATAATTATGCTGAAATGGTTTCATAGCACCAACTTCCATACGATGGCACGTTTAGCTGTGAAAGAATAACCTGCATCGGTCCATTAAAAACCTGAGTCGCTTTCCCAACTCCTGTATCATCTGTGTCAATGTTATCGTGCATAGCTGTGGGGTTTTTTTTTTTTTTTTTTTTTTTTCTATCTTTGCAAAGACAAACTGTTTTCTTTACCCTCCAATCTGTTTCTTCAGCTTGGCGCAGAGCAGCAGGTCAGTAAAGAGGAAGACGTGCCGCAGCTTCCTGGTTCCCTCCACCAGCTCCACCATGAAACTGTCCTTCAGCAGCTGGCGGTTCTACAGCAGCGACAGACAGCAGGGTTAGTTTGGGTCAGCAAGCGGGGGAAATAAGGATAACATCTTCCACTATTCTGGTAGCATATGAGACTCCATTTTCTAGGGGATGCATTAATAAAAAATAAATAATTAAATACATTTTTAAAAAAAAGTCAGGTACAATGTCTCAACAAACTGTTTTTTTGTTTTGTTTTTTTTTTTCAAATTTTGTGAAAAAACCTCAGTGTTGACCATCACAAAGTCACACATAAGTGAAGTGGAAGGAAACAAAACAGGAAATCAATTTTTCACGAACATAGTACATATATTCAATACCCACAAGTTAATTGAATGTAGAACCCCCTTTCATTGCCATTCCAGCTTAAAAGCTCAAAGTGCATCTTGGCCACAGCTAACGACTGAATTTATTGCCATTCGTCTTTACACAACAACTAAGTAAAGTTAAATTTGACGGAGAATGTTCTTAAACATCATTCCTTTAGTCTAGCCGTTGATTCTCTGATTGGATTTAGGTTTAAATTGAAACTGGGTCACTTGGTTGCATGTGTGTGGTTCTTCGCCCACACTCTAGGACTTTTGTAGCAACCAACAGGTATTCTTCTTGACTGACCAGTATTTAGTTCCAACCATGTTCATTTCAAACAGCTTGTATGTCTCTAATGAGAAGCATCCAGGCATGATACCGTCTTCTCCATGTGTATGTTGTGTTCAGGGTAATGTGAAGCGTTTTCTTCCAAACCTGTCTTTTGCTAAAAAGCTTGACTTTGGTCTTGTCTGAGCGGAGCACCGTCTTCTATATGTTAGCTGTGCTCCCAACGTGGTATTGAGGCGTTTTTCTCTCAACAATAAGTTCATTTTTGACACTGTGCTTTTTGTAGCCTACTCATTTGCACTGAGACTTAGTAATTAAGTATATTCTGAATTCAGTTGGAAGCCCTCTTTAAGACTGTCCAAATAAAAAAAAAAAAACTTCCCAGGTATTTTTTCACATCGCAATTTCGTGTTACTTCATTTTGCTCTATCTGAGGTTAGGGGTTGGAATGTGACATAATATGAAGAAGTTGGAGGAAATACTTAAGCGAGACCCTGAATACTCTCTCTCTAATTAAACCAGCAAGAACAGAGAAACAAACAGAGAGACATGAGGAAATGACTGCTTCAGGAAGGACTCAGCTATACAATAAAGCCTGTAAGATGGAAATAAAATCTGCAAGACTGAGTACTGGTTGTGTTCAGTTCAGTTTATGAAAAGAATCTGAGTCGTCTATGTTTACGCTGCAGAGAAATCATGAGAAGTTTCTCACAAAAAGGAAGAGCGATATCTGGGGGTCAGGACTCATCGCTGATGTCAGACTATATAATGAGATGTGTAATAAGGCCATTAACCAAAAGGGGGCAGTAAAGTCATTTTCTAAGGATTTCTTTATAAAGACAAGGAGAGTAGGCAAATGCAAAACCACAGTTTGGTTGTAAATGGCTCAATTTTATTCGCTCTTAACCTCAGTTTTACTTGTGGGATCGGGAGTGAAAACAGTTATTGAAGTCTGCTTGTTCTCGGCTTTATATCTTGTGAAAATTTAGCAGTTTTCTCACTTGAATCTGAGGGTTTGTCTTGGTGACAGATGTTTACTTTTGTGCTCTTGCAAAAAATATGATAGTAAACCAAAAAAGAGCTTGATAATAAACACACTAAGCAGATTTCTTCGTTAGCAAATAGGACAGGAGCCATGGCGGCTGATTGTCTGCAAATGAAGGGAACTTTAAGGGCTTTTTGGTTTGAAGAAAAGCACAAAACATGTAATCAGAAATTTGGATGCAAATTTGAACAGCTAAAGTTTTATTACTGTGCAACCTGTTCCTGCTCACTTCAAACCCATAGTAAACAATCCTTCCCTGCAGCAAAGCCACGAAGCATGACATCATGTTTGCTCAGAGCCAACTACATCCCTGTCATCGTGTTTGTGACCTCCCCTCTCTTTTTTTACTTTGTTTTTTTTCCCCCTCCTCCCATCTCCAGCGTGTCAGTCACCGACAGAGAAAACTGGAGTAGAGCTGAGGCTAATGACAGAAGAACATTTACGTGCTCGCAATAAAATTTTTAAAGAAAGATTGCGCATCTGAGGGTTTGTTCTGTTGTGAGTCAGAGCTGAAAAGCTTGTGAATGATGTAAGGAGGGGGCTGAGGAAGGATGACTAAGATGCAGGAAAAGAGGAGAAATGACGGAGAGAACCCGTGTAACGATGTCTGAGAGGGAATAGGGAGGAGAAAGAGGCCGCAGAGGAGATCCCTGAGGAGCAAATATCACATAGATGCTTCTTACTCTACGTAGATACCGAGCCGTGTGTCACTGCAGCAACATATTCCCACCTCTACTGCACTTACTGATCATCAAAATACAGAATCTAATTCCACATATTGACCGTAAAGCAGCCATAACCTGTGATGAATAACTTCGAGATTACTTGCTTTCATACTGCGTGTCTAGTTGGAACCCACGTTCGTATCACCACCAGATTCTCAGCAGACATTTGTACCTCACTAAGCTTTTTCACAAGAAGTATTTTACTGTGTATGGTATCCACAAATATCCTGCAATACAAATTTCCCACATAACCTACATAACCCTTGAAACCATTTGGCACCCCCGGCAGACAATTTACCATTTATTTCTGACAGATTATCCTTTACTGATTTTAAAAGTAATTCAAATTTAATTTTAAAAGAATGTTTAAAACACAAAATACTAAAGTTCTCTACGAATTTATGACAAACACTATAACAGTGGGCCGGCTCTGAATGTGCAATCTGTGAAAACATACGGAAAAGAAGGAGAGTTAAAGAATGAAAAAAGGAGGAAAAAGTGAAGGAAAAGAAGGATGGATATAAACAAGGAGGAAAAGAAGAAATACAATAATTAAAGACACAAGGAAGGAAAGAGTGAAATAAAAAAAAACAAAGTTAGTGCACTTAAAAGAAAGGACAGAAGTTGGATATTGGACATTATTTTCTTCCACTTCACAGCTACATGTAACGTTGTGTTTATCTTTTACATAAAACTCCAATCAAATAGACTAAAAACTGTTGTTCTGACCTGGAAAAATCCAAAAATTTCAAATAGTATGAATAACTTTAGAAGGTGCTGTTGCTGTATTCCTCCAGTGCAGAGAACAGGAAGCCACAGTATTTAACAGGCAGGGAGAGACATGCATCTTTACCCATATTTTCCAGCAGCTGACCGTCGCATTAAAAAAAAAAACAAAACACTCCTGCACAGATTAAATATTGACCAACTCTTGGAGGAGCCTCACCAAGAGCATAACGCACAAGTAATGGGATGGTTTATTTTTAGAGCATAAGCTCTAAAGGGCACCTCTGCACTCGTGTGAATGTGTGTGGATTTTTTTGTGCGTGAACTTGTGTGTGTGCGTGTGTGTGTGCGGACTGGGGGACATTTTTCTGGGTGGAGGAAAAAAGTGGAATTGTGTAAATGACTGTGTGCATTTCTAGTTCAGCATTTTCATTTTCATCCGAAAGGCAAACAAAGCAGAGCGAGGACATGAGTGCCGTCATTTGCATTTTAATTAAGCGCTTCCTGTTTGCCGCCACCCCCACTCATCATGGCGTGGGGCCGGGGCCTCTGGGGGCCCACCTGTACTCATCGGTTTCATCATACCTTCACTGACCAAACTGGAAGTGACTCAGTGTCTATGCACGGACGGGAACGATTACCCTTCAGTGCTCCTCCAATTGTTTAGCTTCGAGCCAAAAACACAAAAACACTCTGTGGTTTCTACCATGTTGGCTAACTTCCTTATCATTGACAAATCAAATAAGCTCGACATAAAACCGAGGGGGGAAAAAAAAAATTCCAGACTCTAAACATGCAACTTAAACCCTAAGGCAAAGAGAAAGGGATATTGAGTATTAATTTAAAAAAGAAAATGTGTGTAGAATTTGAAATGCACAGTTTTTGCATGAAAATCAGCAGCTTCTATGTGGCAACAGAAACAAACAACAACAAAAAAACTCAACAACTCCAGCCTATTGTTTACTTTATCTTTTGTGAGGTTTAATATAATGAACCCCATTGATTTCAGAGAGCTCTTTTCATGTATCCATGATAAATATTTGATGGCTGCTGTTGGGGCCTGAACTGACTGAGATGGAAACTGAGGCCTGCAGGAATAATAAAGGAAATGTGTGTGTGTGTGTGTGTGTGTGTGTGTGTGTGTGTGTTTGCCAGTGAGTATGTTCCTCCAACATATGGAACAGGGAGTAGGGAAGTGTGTGTGAATGGAAAGGGTGCAGTAATGACCCCCCTGTGAGCGGGGGGAGGAGCCCCGGCCGGCGTCTCGCCTCCTCCCATATACCATTAATAAATAATTAACCAGAAATCTGCCAGTCAGTGTGGACTGGTGGCACATTACAAGGCATTGTGTATGGCAAAGGCTATCAATCAAGGGGCATCCATTCATGTGCGTCAACTCATCTCCAGGGATGGGAGAAACCGGTGGGGGGGCGGGTGGTTGAGCGAGTCTGTGTGCGCTGGTTCGAAAGACGGGTGGAGGGGGTGGAGGGGGGAGTGATAGATACAGAGCAAACAGACAGAATCAGTCTCATGGAGGCAACCCCTGCTATGACCATATAAGGACACGGGCTCTGCTTTAGGCTGCAGATTGGTGGCTCCCGTGCACTCATCTGGTGGTGACTTCAAAGTCATCTGGAGGTTGAGTTTGTGATGTCATCATTCCCAAGATGGGCAGGTGCGAGTTTAGCTGACGTAGGTTAAAAAAGATAGAGGCTTATTTTAGGGGGAAACGTGGGATGTGGAAGAAAATATTAAGGAATATTTCAACCACAGGAGAGCGGGAAACAAAAAAAAAAAGATGGAAAGCTTATATAAGCCAAAAAGAAAAAAACTGCATTAATGTTCATTTGTCATTTTAAAGCACATGATCATCAGTCAGACAATTCACAAAATAACAGACATCCCTACATATTAAACGGTGCTTTGCAAAAATATTACCATTGTCACGATATTTATGTTTTTTTTTTATCCCTTCAGTTTTTAACCTAAGGTAAAGGAAAACAATACAGAGTTTTCAAAATTGTTTGCAAATAAATATCTGAGAGGGGCTGATTTGTATTTGTACTTGGGTCCATCCACTTAATGCTTTGATGAACATTATTTTGGGGTACGTCTTGCCCAGCTTTTTTCCATCTTGAGAACATAATGGTTGTCCATGCTCCTTTGAAAAATGGCAACAGTTCAGTCAGGTTCGGCGGAGAGCGCTAGTGAAGATCTATTTTAAATTCCTAAAATCAGATTCTCAGCCGGATTTATGTCTACAGACTTTGGCTTGGCCATTCTAAAACATAAACATACTGGGATATAACTCTTCCACTGTAGTTCTGGGTGTATGTTTGGTGTTTTTGTCCTGCTGGAGGGCAAACCTACACCTCTCGAGTCCTTTGCAACTTCCTACAGGTTTTCCTCCAGGATCAGGCGGTATTTAACTCTTTTTATAATTATATGCAACTTTGTGTTACAAAAATGTTGTATGAAATACATTAAAGTTTGTGGTTGTAACTTGACAAAATGTGAAAAAAGGTATGATTAATTTTGTGAGGCCCTGGAAAGGTAAAGGAGAATAGCAAAGATTTTTTTAAAAATCATTAAAGGAAAGGGAACAAACACTGTAAATATTATTTAGATGTGTAAAGAGTACCCGGTGAAATGCAACAAATAATTGAGCTGATTGATAAAACAGCAAATACAAATCCAGAAAGAAGGCAAAATGTAATCAATTTGGAGATTTCATATAATAGAGGAAAATGCATGAAAAGGTTTAGAGAAGGCAGAGAAATCTGTACATCCTGGGTTTCTGTGATCATCATGACTGCAGGCGGTACCAGAATGAAAACAGACACAATCCTGCAGTGTTAGTCCCTCGACAGGCCAGAAAACATTTCTGAAATCCTCCCTCAGTGATTCATGCCCACAAACAGAAGTTCTAGTTAAAACTTTGCAGCACAAGGGAAAACAACTGTTTGAATGAGTCATTTACACCGAGGGCGAGCAGACAACATGAAAGCGGTGCAATCTTGGATCAAAGAAACCATTAATCTTAAACAATATGCTCAAATGATGAAGGAAGACATTCGATGTGAACAGAATGACTCTCAAATCACAGAGGTTGAGTAGGAAACTGCCTTTCCCGAGCCCCTATAAACTATTTGGAGGATTTGGAGCAGCAAAGATGGCAGGGGAGCTTCAGTTTTATAGTCAGGTTCCTGTTTTGTGCTTCAACTTCGCCAGAACACAAGACAAAGGATCCCTGGGCAGGGCAGTCGGCTCCCTATTGCCTTCCAAGCTCGTTTCTTTGGATAAAAACAGCAGTACTAGTTTACTGCTTTGCATTCTGAACACTCACCTCTCCCTTCTTCCCAGCTAGAGACTGGCGCCTTGACGTCGTCTCCTCGTTGATGCTGGACAAAAAGTTCTGGGAGATCCGCAGGGCGTCCTGCAGGAGTGGGTGGTCCGGGTGGCTGGTGGGTGTGTGTTTGAGCAAGTCCTTTGAGCAATAATAATGTATCACAAAAACAAACAAACAAAAAAATATTTCAATTTGAATTCTCAGTGTCTAATATATAGACAGCTGTGACTTCAATAAAGTATGTTTCCAGTCATTTTGCTTACATGTAACACCAAAGTGCTGCGCGTCACCCGGTCCACAGGTTTATACAGTAAAGCTAGAAGTAAAATTAGACACAAATAAAGTGACAATTTTATTCTGCATGGATTATATAACAAGATAGATTTATAATTTAAAGTAACTTTAATATGACTGACCCTCCAGGGAGTTCTTGGCTGTATCCTTACAGTCTTTAGGGCTCCTCACCTTCAGGTTCTGTTTGGATTAAAAAAAAATAAAAAAATAAGTTGGCACAAACAACACTGAGTAGATTAACAACACAGAAATATGGTAAGGTTATATTACATGAACTTCATTCACTTCCAGATTAATTATTCAGCCATCAGCACATTTTTTTTTACTCCACTATCATTCTAAGATGGCTCAGAGTTATGCATCATCACTAAGACTATTGATAAGTCTTCCATGATAAATTTCATGTAGGGCATGTAGATGCCCGCCTAAATGCTGACTGGCAGGTCCTCATGAAACATAGATGAAGAATTATGTACTAGAAAGATCCTTATGGGTTGGGGAAAAAGGGAGAAGAAATTAATCAAAGATAGGTCTCAGCAGTCAGAGTTACACATTCTTCCAATTATGTTTGCTTTTGAGCAGCTCATGAGTAGCACTGTGGTCAAAAAGAAAAAGAAAAAGAAAAAAAGAAAAAGAAACTACGTTGGCCATTTGTCCCTGTTTGTGTCATGTGAATCACTATGCATGCTGCTCAGACAGAACTGTGCAAAGAGCAGCTGAAACAGTCAAACTTTATAACAATAAAGTGAAGCCCTCAGTTTATGAATCAAGAGAAGTCTTCTATTAGTTTTGTCAGAACTTGATTAAGTGGAACAGCACGGAAATATTTTCTAAACAGGGAACAACGGAGCATCTCGTCTCATTCAGTTTGCACAAGGACGCCGTTATCACTTTGCGAAATCCACGTTGAATGGCTGCTTTGACGTAGAAAAACTGGCCTTGCAGTTCTAACAACATAAATGCATCACACAGGACTTCCACGTTTGTTTGCTTTCCAGTTCAAAGCTCTGTTGAGGCCCAGTCATTTATGTCCAATGGGAGCAATGACTGTCACGTGTGCGGCTTTGTTTACAAATTACAGTCTGTTTGCAAAAAAAAAGCACAATGTGAACGCAAACCGCACTTTTGGTCCAGACCAAACAAGCGGGCCAAAGGATTTTCTTGATGCTCCAAGAGGGAAAAGAATATCAAATCGGTTACATCTTGCATGACCACTTAACTAAGCACTACCTGCCTATTTCATGTGGTCAGTCTCACCTCAGAGATTTCAGCAAACTGCGAGTTGGCTTGGCAGCACTTCTCCGCTGTCTCGACAGCAAGCTCATAGTTGTCCAGGAATGCCCGATACACTCCGAGCTGGCTGGCCTGAGAAGATGAGGAAAAGTTAGCATTTTAAAATAAAAAAGGAAAAAAAAAACATTTTTTAGTAAATTTTTAAAATATACTTTTTTAAAAGAGCCAAACTGAAATAGCAACATACATATTCAAAGTAATCTCTTGCCAAGCAGAATCTGAAAGACCGTGCAATGCATAATCGAACAAAACAACCAGCAAAGAAGACAGACGGATCAAAAACAACCCCATTTTTACTACGGTGGTCCTTGACGCTTGCTGCTATAGCAACTAGTGAGACCTGTTCTGTGTCGAGTGGAATAATTAATGACTGCAGTAACAGAGGCTATGATAGCACATTTAGGAAGCTTGATGACGAAATTAAATTCCAGCAAACGCTGTCTGCCAGAGCTGAGATTCATCTCAGCGGAGAACAAAAGGACGATCAATTCTTCGGAACAAAAGCTGAGGGAGGAGAGCGTACAGTGGAGCGGAGGTGGGCCCTGTGTGAGCTGTCAAGATCGACCCCCTGTGCGCACACCCCCACCTTTAAAATGCTTATCACACATGTAAGCACTTCCCATCTGAACATGCTGAACAGGAAATTTTACTTGTAAACCTGATCTCAGGGGGCAGCATTTCAAATTGCCTTTCATGCACATTTCAGGGATAAATCTTAAAGATGTATTTATCTTCATTTTGTCCAATGATTAGGAATAAGAGCTCAGATAATTAGAAAGACTGCAACATGGAGAGTGTTTCACAACCTTTTGTCAAAAAAACAATTGAAAAGTAAGTTTATCTAAAAATAGCGATTCAAAACTGAGATTAGTGTTTTAGCATTTTAATGTATGGAACTAGAGTTTTTGCTCTTCGAGCATTTAGAAGTAAAAAAAAAATAAAAAATGCAATGAATTACTGAAAATAAATTCAAAGTTGTGCACCAAATTCTTGTTTTTCGAATATCCTACAACTTTTAAACTCTGGGGGGAAAAAAAAGAACACAGCAGAAACATTTATTTCAATTTTATATCTGCAATGAGTTCACACACTCTTTCACTGCAACTGTACAACTTTCAAGCTATACGCCACAAAACTGAAAGCTGTATATTATGTCCAAGTTAAAACAGATTTAAAACGCTGTTTAGCAAAAATGCTGTTACGCCGTAAAGCAGCAAGAAGCAGGAAGGTGCTGCTTTCATAATCTTTCCCCAGGCAACACAATCTGCACTACTGCAGGGGCAATTCAGAGCGTGACAGTTCCACTGCAGAGGGAGCGGGCCGCCCAAATATCCCACAACCGCATCCCCATACGACAGCGTGAAGGCTTATGGATTGTAGCCATAGAGTCGGGGCAGAAAATGGTTTTGAGAGATGGAAGAAACACGCTTAGGTGTTTGGATTTCTCAGCTTGGGATTTGCAATTCGTTAGAGCGGCTGTGTAATTTACTGCAGAAAACAACATTAGGAAAACAGCCGAGTGACATTACATGAAAATGGCTGAATTTAGCCTTGGCTTGTAAGTTGCTCAAATGTCTTGTAAACATTTTTTCTGATGAGAGAAAGCACCGTTTCATCTAGACAGGAACAGATATGTTTCAATTACGGCTACAGCTAAATGTAGCAAGATACAAGCTAACGCTTCTGGCTCTATTGAGGCTATAACACCTTCATCTTGCTTATTATTAAAGGGGGCATAATCAAATCTACTAGCAAGCTGCCCTTCCTTGCTAGCATGTAGCATGTCAAGTAGTTGTAGCTGTAAGTGAAATAACACTGTTACCATTAAAAAGTACACAAAATGTAAAACAATAGTGGTTAAATGCAGTGGTGAGGAACTTCCTATTAATAGAGGATAATGTCTTCTCCCTCGGATCTGATGGAAAACTGGTTTTCAATCCTACTGGAAATGGGAAATACAGGAGAGCATGTCATTTTAGTAACATGGATGGATGTTGAAAAATAACCCCAAAGTTTTACGAGCAGAGAACCGCAGAGTGGTAACTAAGGAAGTCACTGGATGGCTCTGGGTCAGTTTGCACCTTTGAAATTTAAACCCCCTGTTTCATCCCAGCCTGTGTCAAATTTGTTGATTTGTTCCGTTTATTCCCACTATACAAAATATTTCATACCCAGCTACTTCAAGTTTTCTATTTCCCTTGTAGTTAGGTGTCATCATGATTTAGGCAGATAAATTATAAGTCCTGTATAATTTAATTTATTGGAAATCAACTAAAAAGTCTTCTACTCGTAGAGAGCTCATTTATTTTGACTGTTGAAATATTACGGCTAATGCCTCCTGTTCCAAATTTTATGAGCTGAATTTGGGGGGGGAAAAATGACCCTCAGCATCGCATTATGGATGAGTCTGTTTCTTAAGGCACAAAACAACCAAGAATACAAAGATATCGATTAGCAAGGGAGTAAAATGACTAACAATTGTGTTGTTTTTTTTTTTTGTTTTTTTTTTACCAGAAGTGGCCGTAATAGTGGAGATTGGTGAAGTCTATGAAGCAGCTGAGACACTTACTGTAAGTTTGATCCAGAGATCAAGAGGCATTTTAAAGTTGATGACGAGACTTGTCCAAGAGATATCAGGGATTTAGTCAAGCTAACAACCAACAGCAAACTTGACACTGAAAGCTAGTCACAGCCACAGTTTAAAACAGAAAAGCTTCATCTTCTTTTACTCGTCTTTAATAAAACAAATTCAACACTAGTTTAACAGATTCCCATCTCCGAGGCTTGTGTTTCGGAGGATCAGGATCACAACTGTAAATTTGCCCTATTTTCAGCCTTCAAACGATTCTCCCTGACACTTCAGTCTCGTAGCCTGTCAGCGACGCTCTGCCTTTTCCTCTTTTCATCCTCTCTCTCATCTTCCTCGTTCTGATGTCTCATGACTCCTAAGCTTTTGCAGATTTAAGAGTCATGGTGAGACAGCTCTATCAGAGTTCCAGCAGCCTGAAAATCTACTTGGCTTGTCGGCTCCCATCCTTTCACGGACGTCCCCACCCCCACGAGGACGCGCGCATCACCTCCTTTGCTCCCTTTAATTTTCATTTTTGGTCTATGATTTTGGTTTTACGGAAAACGGAATAAGATAGAAACAGTTTGACTGTGTAAAGCATGTCAGAAAAGTTGACATTGTTTATTGTTCAATAACAATAATATTATAACTGTGATATGCATTACTTTATGACTGTAATTCTTGCTCTTTTTGAACTTAAAAGAGCTTATATCATGCTATTCATGTATCTTTTTACACTATCTATAGGCTGCTCAAATCATAAACTATGGACCAACAGAAAGCTGATGTTGGTTTCCAATTTGCCAGTGTGGTAAAGGACAAATGCATTGTGTTATTTTGACATCTGAACCAACTTTATTTTTCTTTTTTCTCCTTTTTTCATACTCTATACCAATCAGATCTGTCAAAGTAAGACTAAACACGGGTTCTTCGAAGCATAGTTTGTGATTGTTGCCATCCTACTTGAATTCTGAAAATGAATTCATAGAAGTTTCATTGCACTGAATCTAAACCAGATCTGTATGTTAAAAACTAGAGTTCTTCCAGTCTGGGACCCATAAAACCGAAATAACAATAGCACATGCTAAATGCACGCTAAAATGTGAACCATTCTCAACCAGCAAGTGTAATGACTGTGTAATCCTTTACCATCAGAACAGACAGTAAATGCGTATACTGAAAATAAATGTGTCCGATTTAGAAGCAACCAAAAAGAGAAAATAAATATGCAAAAGAAAATGTTTTATTTTAATTTCTTCCAAGTGCCTATTAGAAAATAATACAAATTCAATTAAAATTTCTCACCCAAAGCCCAAAGGCAGCCTTCAGAGACACATTAATAAGATTGCATGTGTGTGTGTTTGTGTGTGTGTGTGTGTGTGTGTGTGTGTGTGTGTGTGTGTGTGTGTGTGTGGTGAAGGCAGCTCCTATTTATAGCAGCTTCTTGAAGACAAAAAGCACACAGCGTTGTGATGGCCTCAGCTGCCTGAGGCAGAAAGGGGGCATTGTGAGCAGGCCTGTGCCCCCCTCTGTGTGCTCGAGCACGTCAGAGTATAAACCAGTCTGGGGAGGCGGCTGGACGAGGAGCATGAGGGAGAGATCAGTGGGAGAGGAGCTGTAGTTCTCAGAGTATTAACAAATGATTCATTGTGAGTTAATTGACCCGCTGTGAAAATGATTAAACAGAACCACTGTACTGTACATTTGGCCCTGACATCCTTGGAAGAAACTGCTGCAGGACATAGAAAGAGAGAGTGAGCAGCTGTTTGGGCGGAAAAGGGGAAGGAAAAGCAGTCCAGATTTAATTTGTGCAAATTTGAAAGCACGACGGAGAGGAAAAGATCGCTAGAAAAATCAAATCTGCTTTTATTGCCGATTTATCAAATTTAACTGGCAGGTCCTGCTTCTGACATCCTTCTGTTTGATGAGATGTTACAGTAAGTAAAGCCGCCGTGGCTCTGTTGGTTTGCTGTGGGAGGGCGTCCAGGCAACATAAATGCCACTGTAGAGCCCCGAATGTCCTTTCCCGCTGCTGTCAACCTTTGTGGCTGCCCAATGTTGTCACTTTGATTAGGGGTAACGTCACGCAGCTACACCCAGGGACTCAGCTGCTGTCATAGCGGCACACAGTCTACAACCACAAACAGACCAAGCCTTTAATTTTCCCTTGATAGGAACCCAGACTGTATTCACCAGTTTCTGGAAGAGGTCTCCAACCCTCTGGTGGTGGCTCCACTGCTGGACGCGGGGCAAAAGTCCGTCGTAAAACTCCTTGTGGATTTCGTAGAGCTCAGGCACTTTGAAGAAGATGGTTTCAATCTGGGCCACTGTGAGAACAGGCTGGGACGTTGTAGCAGCTGCCTTCAGTGGTTTCATTGGCTGAGACAAACAGAAATTCAGTTCAGTTTAAATCAAACCAGTTAGTCAAAGGTCAATTTTTGATTCCTTATCCCTGGACTGGAATCAAACAGTCTCCTTGAAACATATTGAGAAGGAGAAAATCCAATTATCCAATTAAAACACCTTGAATGTATCACTGGTTTGCAGAAACTTGCTGAAATGTCTGAAGCGCCGAAATCGAAACAACTGAACTCAAAGTTGGCAACATCAGGAGAGTGAAAAATGACCACTGTCGCTGGTTTCAGAAGGTGTGACCTGGAGTTTTACTTAAGGAGACGATAATGTTGTGCAATGCAGTTTCACTCACCAGTAAAAGAGCCTCTAGGTGGCTGAGGTATGCTTCTTCTGTGGCCAAGATCCCAGACAGGACCCACTTTCTCATCTCCAAACCCTTTTCAAGGTCACACTCCGTCTGTGAAGAATACAAACATGTCTAAAGCTTAAAAGAAAATGCAACAACTCTAAAGCAATTGAATGATGTTTTGCCTCCTGACAACCTAAATACATGGCATATGGTCCAAACTGTATGAAACCCTGCTTTCATACTTTTTTTTTCTTTAACCAAAAAATCTAATTAACCTCAAATGTCCTGACTGATAAACTAAAATTCATTCATCAATGATGGTAAAAGGGTGATGAATAAGACTCTGAGTGTCTATAGTTACTGGCTAACCATGGAGGAGCTGCAGGAATGCTCAATGAAACAAAAACATCCTTTAAAAAAAGAGAGAGAGAGAGAGAGACATCCGAGGCTGCTTTGCCATTCCTCCATTCCCCTCAGCTGAGTCAAAGCTCACTGAGGAGCACAGACATGAGAGAAAACAGAACAACAGAGAAACTCCTCGGGCTGTCTTGTTTAACCAAAAACTCTGAAATAACTCAAACAGACAGGGTTTCTCCCATGGCAGAAAAAAGGTTGGGGCCTAAATATGTGCATGCAGAAGAAAGACACAAGCTCCAGTCTGGAAGTGGGGGATTTCAGCTCTGTAGGTAATGATGGAGAGGAGAAATGAGGATCAAAATAATCATAGAAAACTCTAAAAACAATATTTTTAAAGGGAGGAATAAACATATTTCAGGTGTAATAGAGATGAAACTAGTGCCTGCAACAACAGATAGTGAAACTAGCTCAGCGGCGCATATGCAATATATTGCCAAATGTATTCGCAGATCTATCGTCACCTGATTTTGACCGACATCAAATTCCTAATCCATAAAGATTAATACTTCATGGTTAGCTTCCACAAGGAGAAGCACATTTGTGAGGTTAGACACTGATGTTGGACAAGAAGGCCTGTCTTGTCACCCAGAAGATGTTCTGTCAGGTTGAAGTCAAGACTCTTTTCAGGTCAGTCAAGTTGAACTTAATGATGGCGATCCATTCTATAAAACTTGTTAACTCTCTTGTTAATCTGAAGTCCATTTGAAGTTTGAAGGTCCGCAGCTACTACATCCGCAGAAAGCTAGCAACCTCTTAGCCGAGGCTAATGAAACCTCAGCCTCTGCCACCAGTTCACTATTGAACATTTAGTAGTAAGGAAAATTAGCAGCTGGAGCCACTGCATCTCGTCATGGCACTACAGTGGGATTTATTAAGCTGCTGAGATCCCGTTCTTTCACAAACGTATGTGGAAGCAGCTAGCATGACTCGGTGCTAGGAAGTGCTTGACACAACTGAAATTAATATTTTAATGGTTGCAAATATATTTGGCAATACAGTGTCACAGTTTATATGATGCAAAATGATAAAAAAAAAAGATTATATGAAAATGACATTTAAATCAGTTTTAGCATATTCAGGCTGTAAGTAAGGAAAGTCAATATTTCTCATTATCATAGTAATAATATATATATAAAAAAAGCAAATCTTCTCAGTACTTTCAATAAGAATTTCTAAGAATAGCGCTACTTATTGTTGCTTTACATTACAGGGTACAATATGTCGCACCGTGCCTTCTACACTGTTTTTGCACACACTTACGGGGAGAGCTTCGATGTCTGTGGGCGTACATGCATTTATTAAAATGATGGGGCAAATGGGTTTGAAACCGGTTTCCATGGCCACTGCATAAGTAGACGATGATGCAGATTTCAGGGAACAGTTAAGGGCTGAGTAGATGATGAAACCCTCTGGGATTATTATAGACCGCGTTACATAGGAGGTTGTTAACCTGCAGATTAAAAGCATGACTAAATACACTTTTTTATGATGTTGCAACTCCTGCAACACTATATTTTTTGTAAAAAAAAAAATACTACTTGACTAGAGCAAGACATTCACAATTGCATCTTTTTAATTTTGATTTAGATAGTTCTATCGTTCTCCATACAATGAACCACAAGAAATCCAGTGGAGCGCATGTGGCTCCAACAACAACATCTGTGATTTGTACTGCAGAGAAATCAGTGATATGGTTCAAAGGTTTTGCAAGGTTTCTGATGTGATCTGGTAAGCTCATGTTCAGCTTAGGAACCCCTGGACTATCACTTAATTCTGAAACGTCTTTTACTTCTAGCTTTTTCTTTCCTTTTCCTGAATTACTAACCCTACAAACATAAAAACACACCATGCATATTTGTCCAAAGACAACATAAAGAGCAAGCTCGTGACTGACTCTTTTTTTATTATTTCTAACAATCTGCAAAACAGTCATCATTAAACTTGGACACATATCACAACGTCCACAAATACACACAAATAAATCAGTACACATATTTAACAATTTAACATTTCATTTAAAAGTGAAAATAGATTTCTTTCCTAAAAGTTTTTAAAGCACAAACTACACACTAAAAACAACAACAATGAAACAGTCTGTTCCTCTTCTTGTACAGTGCCTGCAAAAAGTATTCATTAAAGAGTTTTATTGTTTTGATTTTTTTTTGTAAAAAAAAAAAAAAGCCATATTGTATTGATCATGATTGAATTGCAAAAGTAATAAAAAAGGTAAAATGGCCTATAAGAAAGATAGCGAATACTTTTTATAGGCCATGTAACAAAGCCTCATCTTTAAAGGTTTTATGCTTCAGTGGTGTGATCTTTTCCTGTCTTATTTCTCTCTATTATTCTCTTACACCCCCTTTCATGACAGCAGTCTGACGATGGATTTTGACAGCTTCTGCATTATGTATAACATTGTTTATTGTTCTGTGCTGCATTGTATGTTCCCATTGCTCATTATATATAGGCACTAAAATACACATATAAAGAAAGTATGTATAAAAATACATTTAAATATTTTTTTTTTCCTGGGCTATCTTTTAACTGAGGTGTTGCTAAAATAAAATGTAATGGATTTATTGCTCTAATGCAGCTCATAATGAAGACCTAAAAAAACAACAACAAAAAAATAAAAAATAAGTAGCTGTGACGATGAGTAAAAATGTGTTATCACTCTCAATGCTTATAAAGTAGAAAACATAGAGAAAAAAGTTACGCCATAAAAAGAAAAGACACAGGTTCAGCATTATTTCATCCATTCAGATGACAGAACATAGAAGACCTGAGTAGATGCCCAGACATTCCATCTTTTATTCATTATGCTGGCAAGTAATGAGCCCGTCTTTGGGACCAGCTTAAAGAGGCGTCTGCGAGCGGCACTGAAGCTACACACCTAAACAAGAAGCTCTCATGATCTGATTCGAAACAGATCAGTAAAAAAAAAAAAAAGGCAGCTCCATAACAGAGTTTTAACAAGATTGAGAAGACAACAATAAATAGTAACCCTGTATTAGTTTTATTAACACTTTTATTTTTTTTATTTTACAAATTGCTCACAAACAATTTGTGCCATTCCTTTTTATTTAACTCCTGTTGTGATTCATGTCTGCTTGGCTACATCCAAAATATCCCGTGTTGCACCTCAGTTAGAAATATGAAAGATTCCAGATTCTCTAGAAAGATTTGATTTCTTATTGTTATTATGTCAAAGTTTCATGTAGCCAAAGCAAGCAGGGGCATGACCTCACCAACAGTATTATATGAGAAGCAACAACAGTGAAATTTGAGAGGCTTTATGATGTTGCAGCTCTGGTAGTCAAACTTTAAAGCTAAAAAAAATAAAAATAAAATGAAAAATCTGCTTTATAGGTTGAGGAAGAAAGCCGTCCTTGATTTACGCTTCTGCAACTCTCGCAGCAATATAACTGTCTTCATGATCAGTTACCCCTATTCTCCTCTTACTTTCTAACGAGAGGAAAAGTCACAATAGGAGGAAAGAGAAAAGGAGCCACTGATAAAAATCAAATCATCTCTGATGGTGAGTCACCACAGTGACATCATAAAACCGTCAGCGCACACTGGGCCAAATTGAGCCTGTCTGCGCTCTGATACATAAATTAAAGAATGAGACAGGGGCGATGTTTGCGGAGGACTTTTCAAAGGGCAAATAAAAAGCGATAGTTGCTCTGGCAGCCCATGAAAGTCTGTTTGACTGTGCTGGGAATTTGTTAAGGGAGGATTGTTTAAGTGTTGCGTCATACATTTGACTGTCTTTCAGAGGAGGGCTGCTCTGGAGCTAAAACTGCGGTGAAAGAAACCAGCAAACAATTTATGTGATTAGGTAGCAGAGAAATCCATTAAATAATAAATGGATTTGAGCAATATTCATTACCTGTTGATGTCTTGTGCAAATTCACTTTGAAGAATTATAGTATATAACCTTAGTAATGCCCCTTTTACAATCAATTAAAACCAAACATAATGTTTCTGGGATCCTAGAGGGAATGTAATCATCATGGTACTGCTAACATAGTACACCTTTGCTACCATGTGATCACATCTACACTAGATTTTTTTCTTGAATTCACAACCTGTGTAATTTCCCTATAAAAATGTAACGTTCCTGCACCTCCATCAGTTTCAACATAACTTTAGGGAAGGAAAAACTATCAGAGTTACTATTATATGAGAAGATGGGAAAAAAAAAACAACCCTGTTATTTTAGCAGAAGGAGTAGAGGACTAGTATTAGATATGAGTTTGTAGTCAAATATCTACCTAACATGAATATTTAAAAAAACAACATCCCATTAGGTGCAATGGTACAATTGAAGAGGGTCTATTTATGCTGCCATAGTTGTATATGTTTTTGGACGACTTAAATCTGAATCCTAAGTTCCCCGGTCAAACAATTAAGTCAACGACCACTATTTATTGTCAGATGTAAGCTATTTATTACACGTCTTGTGTCCTGTGAACGCTCCCCAGGTGTATTAAAGATTGAAAGGTTATGAACTAAAAAATCCTCATGACAACCAACACATACTGTAGATCTCACCGCTCAGAAGCCATTTTAACCTATTCCTTTAAACTGTGGCACCCTTCCATTTTTACTTTCGTCACAAAAAACTAAGAAAAGCAGCTCTTTGGTGTATATGTCATCTTCACTATAATCTGTAAAGAGTGTCAAACGTTAAATATCGCTGTATCTATTTTTACAAATACAGAAAGGCAGAAGGAAGAGAAATGGAAGAAGGATTGAGATGGTTGTAAAGTTATGGGGATGAGGAATAATTCTGCCAAATACTCTCCCAGAAGCAGTCAATCTCTGAAGGCTAATTTGTTTCTTTCTTGGGTGTCAGGCTGCAGGGTGGAAAAACATGTTTTTATAGAAACGTTTTAATTTAAAGCGATAGGCCTAGAGAACCTTCAGCTGATGAAAAGTTGGAAGGTGAAAAATATTCGCCCTTTTCAAACATATTTGTGTATTCTTAAACCCTGGCTTTAGTTTGCTTTTGCAGGAAAAGTAAAGGAAAGTGTCAGCTGATACTGATGAGAAGACGCAATGGCACACTGACCGACTTGGAGGACTCCAGTGATCCTGAGGAGAGCGTGTCCCGGCTGCTGCGGCTCTTGGAACTGAGGTGCGGCGAGGATGATGGCGAATCGTCAATGTACGGCAGGATGTCATGGTGCCGCCGCTGCTCCTCTGCTCGGTCTGCGTCGTAACCGTACGTTGGAGGAGTTCCAGTGAAATGGCCATCTGTTGAGGACAAAAGCCAAACAGCAATTTAAGACCTTTAAAAGGTTTTTGAAATTGATGCTACGGTATTACGGACATGCTGATGTGACTTCTGGGCTAGCGGGGCAATCAAATCTTTAATTTTCCTGACTCAGGCTTCCAGAGTTTTCAGTATATTTTTAGCAATTTCTTAAAGTTTAAATCTGCACAGCAGATATTTCTACAGTCATCAGGCTTTAAATACGGGGCTCTAAGGAAAGGGACGGCTGGATTGATCGATGGATAGATGGTAAAGTCAAACTGCGGTCTTGTTCATGCTATAGAACCATGGTTAAAATTTGCTTACATAAAAACTGTCACTTAAATAGCCTGTGCAAAAACCAAAATCTGCATAAAATCCTTCACTTCTACTACAGACATCAAAGCATCCTTGACCTACAAATCACAATTTATGCTCATTATTTGAGGTTTTCTGCATGGCAGTGCACTGAGACAAAGACAGGGAGTTGTGCATTCCATTTACTGATTGGCTTCGTGCTCTCAGAAGGTTGCCAAGTCTGGAAGAGTTAATTTCCAACTCTAATTAGAGTAGCTCAGGAAACTGGGGCACATAAAATTAATTTCTCTTGCATCTTTGTTCATACACCATAAACCATCAAAAGGAAACACCTGAGAAAGAAAACTGAAAACTGCTTAAAGGTTGTTTTTTGTTTGTTTGTTTGTTTTTTAAAAGTAGAACACAGGGTGGATCATTAAAATGTATTATTGATTTGCAAACTTCTCAAATTTTAACGATGGACGTTAATAACTTATACAGCAATATATGATTCACTTTAATTGGAGTCAGAACAAGAAACAAAGACCAGTGAGCTGTTTGTTCAGCAGATCAGTGCAGGATGTGTGACAGATGAAAGAAAGACAGAAAGAAAGAACTCTAAAGAGATAGTGAAGAACTTTTTGAAGCACCTAAAAGTTTTCTTTTAGGTGCTTCAAAAGAAAGTTTTCTTTTAGGTGCTTCAAATACTGTAGTTTCTAAAAATATGGTATTTTTTATATGCTGAATCAGACTTTGTTTCCACTGAATGAACCAAAATACAAGCCCTAATTGAGAGATACACTTTTAATATCACTCTGAACCTTCAGGGTGGAGCTTTGTGAAAGAGTACTCAGCATTTAAAATGACTCAAAAAAAAAAACTGTATTTTTTTTTTAAATGAAACATTTGTCAATATTTTTATATTTCCCTGTAGTTTTGTAGAAGGTTCTTTATTTCAGAGTGTAACAGCTGTAAAAGGTAAAAGGTTCTGGCTGCAGAACACCAAGTTAAAATCCTGATTAGACATGATGAAAGTCTTCTTCCATAAACTACATTTGAAAGTCACTGTAGTTACTTTTGCATACTGTGCCAATTCACAAGTGTCACACTAAAACACAATGCTCAACTTTATAGCAAATTTACCTTTCCACAACATCCATACGTAGCAGCAACAATCTATGTGCAGTTTACAATTAAAGGATTGAAGTTAACAACACAGAAGGAGGGTATTCAGTGTCAAGGCATTATGCCCCCCCATCCATCCATCCATCTTCTTTATACCCTTGTCCCTTAGTGGGGTGGGGAGGGTTGCTGGTGCCTATCTCCAGCTAACGTTCCGGGCGAGAGGCGGGGTTCACCCTGGACAGGTCGCCAGTCTGTCGCATTTATGCCCACCCATGATTTCCAAAGCTCACTGTTGTTGACGGGTGATGCCCGCTGCGCCTTCTTTGACCAACGGCATGCTGCCAGAGGGAACAACCCAACACAGAAACTCTGTGTGGGGCAAACAGCCTCTTCCCACAATGCCAAACCTTTCAGCAAACCATAGTTCCCAGTGTGACGCTTGCAGAGTCATTGGTGGTGTAAAAATACCGGGTGGGGTTTTTAAAAATACCCAGTTGAAAATGAGTGAGTGCGCTACTAGCATGTTTTTCTTTCTGGGTTTTCTAGTTCTGCCTTGGTGCATTAATAGTATGCATAAAAAAATAAAATAAAATAAAAACTGGAGTTTTTCTTTTTTGAGAAATAACTCTGCAGCTGTTTTTTAATAACACTGAACACACTCAGAGCATTTTACTATTTAAATCATAGATTTGTTTGGAAAAATGCCATTTCTGGAAATGACGCATGCAGTTTTAATGTAACACAGTCCAAAGAAAACACTAAAGTCTAAAATAATGGAGAAAACAACTATTTGCAGCTGTAAACACCAAGAAGTAAAAATGGGTGCTGTGACTGTAAGTAAAAATAATTAAATGAAACTATTTTTCCATGGCTTGATTTGCAAACCATGGAAATTAAGCCATAGATTGCCCTGAACCACTTTTTTTTTTTTTTAATTTACACAATTTTTTATGAATATTTTACTTGGGTTTTCACCCATTTGTTGCCTCTCCTGACCTTTTTGTTTCCCCCCCTTCCTCTCGTGTTCCATGAAGGACATCTTACATAAAGATAATAAAGCACCAAAAATATCACTGAACAAAAAAACAGGCAACTTATTGATTCCTACTTGGAGCTACTGAAAGCAAAACCTAATACAGGTCCCAGCAATAAAAAAATAAAACGCACGTGTAAACTTTCCTCTAAAATGCGTGCATGGAAACAGCGTTTGGGAGGGGAACAGCTACAGGGCACGTTCCTGCAGAAGGCGGAGAACTACAATAACACTGGCATCCGCCTAACTGGGTGTTAATGACACTGATGGTGACATGTGGCTGCTCTACAGCATGTGGGAGCTGGTGTTTGTACAAGTGGCTATATTAAAAGATGATTAATGATAATCTTAAAATCTAACTCTCTGGAGCTGATTAATCAAAAATTGTTTTACAAAACCATAAAGTGTTGCTGTGGATAAGGAAACCACATGAAGCAATCAAGATACATGGGCACCATTGAGGATTATAGTGTTATGCGTTCAGACAAAATAAAGTGAATCTGGTCTTTGCCAGGTTCTTAACATATTTAAACCTGGCCTTGTGTGCGCCAAAACGCAGCAAATTTTAACCTTTCATGATTCATTAAACATAAACAAAGCAAAAAAAAAAAAAAAAAAAAAAAAAAAAAAATAACCAATTCCCTGTGCATCACGAGAAAAAAACAAGGCGCTTT